CTGACTTTGTCAGCGAGGTCCTGACGCATCAATTATGTCAAGCAAGAGCCTTGCACAGTTTCTGGTGAACACATCTGCACCAACTTTGGGCCCCGAGGAATACCGCTGCTAGAAAAAAACTGTCCAGTCAATTCTGACTCATGGGAGGGACCCCCGTGTTACAGAGTTCAACTGTACCCCATGGGTTTACATGGTGGTTTTGAAGGCCAATTGCCAGGCCTGTTTGCTAGCCACGTCTGGGTGGAATTAAACCACCAACCTTCCAGTAATGAGTTCAGCAACTCATTGACACCCCCAGGGACAGCTGGGTCAATTCCAACACACACAGACCTCGTGTTGTGTGCCAGCAAGTCCATTCTGCTGGACAGTGACCCTATTAGAATACAGCTGCCCCATAGGGTTTGCTAGCCTGTAATCTGTAGGGGAGCAGGCTGCCTAGTCTTTTCTCCACAGTGCAGCCAGTGGCTCTAAACTGCTAACCTTTCATTAGCACCCAAGGGTTTAACTTTTTTAAACTATATTCATTTATCAATTTATTTCTTGCGACTCCCTTTCTAGATCTGTGGCTATAACGACCTGTGAGCTTTTTTTTTTTAATCTTAAGTGAGCTAGTGAGAAAAGGTCCTATTCCGGAAGCCCTATGGCTAGCACATCTCTACCACAAGAGCCCCCCCAGGAGCATGAGAACAGCAGGAACCCCAGTTCCCTGAAGAACCCAGCCCCTGGCTAAAACCAGGGAGGAAACAAGTTGGAGAGTATAGGTTTCAGATTTAAAGAATGTGAGACTGAATTTTTTTCTCTCCTAGTTTTCCTTCATCTTTATTATTGAAATCATTTTATCGGAAGCTCTTACAGATACTGTAGCACTTCATAATTCCATTAGATCAGCATAATTGTACCATTGCTGCCACCATCAATTTGAGAACACTTTCTTTTTGAACTTCTTGATAACAGCTCCCCTTTATTACCTCCCTCCCCCACCCTACTGCCCAGAGCCCTTATTATATATTCTTGTTTTTGCTGTCTCTTACATCGACCAATGTATCCATTCACCTGTAAATCTGTTGTTTGTTCCCCTCGAGTGGGGTTGTACAGTCATCATTACTATCAGTTTCAAGGGCTTAACTTTGATTCCATCATCAGGGTTCTTTGACCCCATGGTAGTACTTTTCAAACAGAGCCCTCATGACCCAGAAAAGAAGCAACCATTTTGGGGTACTTGAATGCCCCAGGCTGTACATGAAGAACAAGCCACCTGTTTGATTAGTTGACAGAACAAAAGCATTCAGCTATGTAGCCCTGCCGTCTGTATTGACCTCTCACATGACTTACAGCTCAGCTTTGTCCTGGCATTGTTGTTTGCCCTTTTCCTCAGTTTTCTCCAGGAGCCTGGTCCAAAGGCATAACCAAATATTCATGTCTCACAAAACAAATTCTTCCGCTATGACAGGTTTTTACTTTGGGTACATCAAGATTTAAACATTCTTAGCAGCTTATTTTCATCAGAAGGCGGGTGCAGAGCGTTAGGAGCATCCTCTTTCCCAGGCAGTCGCTACAAGGAAGCTGCTCCCCACAGCATGCAGGCAACCCTCACGAGAGGGGCTCTGGTTTTCAGAAATCCCTAGTGTCTTAGTGGAAAACTGACTGGGCTGCTAACTGCAAGGTCAGCAGTTCAAAGCCACCAGCTTTCTACTTCCACAAGGATTTACAGTCTTAGAAACCCACAGCGGCAGTTCTACCCGGTCCTACAGGGTTGCTATGAGTTGGAATCAACCGATGGCAGGGAGGCTTTTTTTTTTTGGTTAAATGATTTTGAGGGAGTGCAACCTTTCCCCGATACATCCTGTGATGTAAGGCCATGATACTTACAGAGTAGGATAAAGTTAGTTTTTAAAACTTTCTATTGAGAATCATGCGAGGTTTACAGATCAGACCATTTTACATTCAGCACTTATCCAGCCTCCCAATGGCTTGTCCTGTTTCCCTCTTCTCCCCGCCCCACCTCTCCCTCTTGTTGGATATTATTGTCTACTTCACCCTAGTTCATACCTGTCCCCAAGCCTTATTTCCCTTTTCATCCCCTGGTAACTATCAAAGTCTGTTTATTTCAGTATGATAATAGTCTCTCCATATTTTTTTTAAATAACTGGTCTTACACATTAGTTGTCCTTTTGTGATTCACTCATTTTACTCAGCTTAATGTCAGTAGGACAGTTATCCTGGGAGAGATCACCAGTTATTTTATAATTTTTAAAATTACAATTTTTTATTGTGTGCGGGAGAAATTCTCTGTGAAAAGAAGCACTGGATTATTTGCTCAGTTTCAGACTGTGTAGCACACATACCTAAGATTTTAGTAAAAGTTCAACCTTAAAGCTCTTCTTCCCCC